AGTTTGTTATTATCCTGCTCTTTGAACATGCTCTCATATCTCCTTCTATGGATAGGTTAACTAGGTATGGATGTATTCATTAATAGGATAACAAGTCTGTTTCTAAACTCACTATAATGTGGCCTGTTTGATCATGTTTTCATCATATCTTGACATCTCTAGTAATTGCCCTAATTAGTTTTCAGCATGTTATGGTCTATTGCCAATTGATATGATTTCTTCTTATGACACTAGTTGCTGCACTTAGCCTAATCTGAATTCTCTTTTACCACTATAAATTTGTCTTGTAACTTGCCTTGTTAGCATGTGATTGAATTCACTTCTTGAAACTTGATTAAGTCTGCCTAAAGTTTAAGCATGACTATTATTTGTTTTTATATGCTCAATTGATTCTGTCCTTCAGTGGAATCCCTTGACTTCATTCTATTCCTCTACAATCTGGTCCTTCTAAATTCTTATCCTTAGCCGGCTGAAAGCCAAAGCTACTTAGATTCTGTCCTTTGACCTCCCTAGTATGAGCACTACTCAGGGTTCATTTGAGACCCTTGTGAACTCTGACACACTAGGACCTGGTCCCTAGTCTTTCCTCTGAATTATTTTTGATCAACCTCCCTAGTGTGAGAACTGCCCTGTGTTCTTGAAGCCCTTGGTAATTCTGACACACTAGGGTCTTGGGCTCTGTATGCTCAGCCTTGACATATGCTCACTGGGTGAATCACTCAACAATTAGCTATTTTGTAGATATGAATATGAAATTTTGGAGCTATTGTGAATTGTGAGAATGAAGGCCTGGCCTGTCCAAGTTTATTTGGGCCTGCTGTAGGCTCCCTATAGCTATATCTATTCTGTAATTTACTATATTCATTTTGGGTCTGTAATAATTATTGTAATAACATTTTGGGGTATTAGTAAAATTGGGAAAAGGATTTTTATCTTACTTGCAACAAGTTGGGTAGAGATCATGCATATAGGTTCGATAATGTGTTATTATATGTCGTGTGTTATAAATCATGCCTATAGGTACTTTGTTATATTCAGTCATCATATGCTAGCAGCCCTGCCTATAGGTTCAATACTTGGTTCAATTGTGTTTTATTTCTACTTGTTAGAGACCATGCTTTTAGGAAATGGTATGATTTAATGTATGTGCAAAAATTCTGTTTACATGCTACCTTAATCTAGAAACCATGTCTATAGGATCTAAAAATGGACCAAATTGTAGAAAGCATGCCTATAGATTTGAATCAGTTTATTTATCATTTCGCCCATTGATTCAGGAGTTTTGTCAAACACTGTGCTACTAACCTCATTAGAAAACATGCCCATAGGATCAAAACAAGTGATTCTGGATATACTTCTGTGATTGCCACTATTTACTATCGCACAAAACATCTAGACATCATGCTAGTAGGTTTAATCTCATTATGCTAAAAATTAGTAGGCAAATTTATGTAGGTCTTGGTAATCGTATTAAGAAACTAGCTTTTGCGTATAACTGTCTGCTCATTCATTCAGTATCACATAGAGATCCTGCCTATAGGATTCTGCGATTTTGCAATTAATAAAACCTGTTAGTGCTAATCAGTTTGGCGTGCATTTGATGTCTAAATGGGGAGGGTAACTTGAGCCCATACTTGTTTCTATTTGAAAGTCCTAACTGTTTTTGTATGTTGACTAGTTTTCTCCTTTTGAGCAACCTATGTTAAGGTCTTGAACTACCCTGAAATAGAGGTCCAAATACCTCATAAACCATAGGCATGGGACGGGTAGTGCATGCATAGGTTACGACTTAGAATCAAATCGAGCGCTTTAGGTAAACAACTTAAAAATAGTAATTGGGTAGCAGGAGATGATAGTTTGTGCCCGCTGAATAATATGAGTTACACCCCATCTTGAGGGAGTTATGAAGTATTATTTATGTTGCACGAGTTGATCCTTTAGGCTAAAAAACATAGGACCCCCCATTACATCATTCTCACTCATTTCGGACAAAATTGGTCATCAATTTCTTTACCCGACAACTCTTTCATCATTCCCGGATAGAGAGGGGCAGTTGTAGATATCCAGTTTTGCCCTCATATTGTGCAAGGTGCCTAGGGCTAGTTTTTATATATATAAAACTCAAAATAAAACAAAGTGTCAGGAGGTCTTATAAGATGAAAGAAATATACTTTGACGAATACATAATTCCTATTATCAATGTTGGGCAATGTTCTCAACACTGATATCACAAAAAGTAGGCTAATAAAGGAGTGAAACTCTTTTATAAAAACTAGCCATGCTAAATCTTCATAATTGAAGCCCATATGTAGCCTTCTTTTGTTGCAATTTTGACTATCTTCCCTTTGATGTATCAACTGTAAACTTAATGAAATCAGTAATGAATTTTTCAAATTGATTTGCAAACCCGCATTTGCATCTTCCTCAAGTGTGTAACTCCTACGATCATCCACATAATCTGTAGCAACTTCTATTGCAAAGCCTACTGTCTTGGAACGCCCTTGTCTTTCCAGAAAAATATTGTGACTATCCTTACCTCTGCCAATCCTATCCCTTAGTATTATTTGATTGTCATGATGCCTAGTATCCAGTAATGCAACTTCATTCTCACAGTTTCTTGGATAGCTATACTTGTTTCTCAATGAGACTAAGTTCCAACATTTTCGAGCATGTGTGAGCATACAGTGTTTGAGCAGGTAGTCGTGTGATCTCCAACAGCCATCTGTTGATGTCAATGGTTGGCACCATTCTTGGTATGTATATGTACTGATATTCATTAGGGTGATGTTCCACGATGCATCCAGTGCTCCCAATTATGAGTTCCAAAAGCCCAAGTCATGTAGTAAATCGATCAAGCTTCTGGGCAGCTTTCTCTTGCATATCCCATATTTAGACGTGTGATCGTGTGATATCCAGTAGTAATTTGTGGTAACCATTGATTGGAACCATTCTTGGGATGTAGAACTAATAAGGTGTATTGGTGTTTTGCAACACAATGCATCCATTGCTCCCATATTCGACTGCCAAAATCCCCTGTCGATTAACTTTCTGGGAAGAATTTTACATGTTTACATGCTTATGCCTACTATTAATACTCCTTCAAGGGAATGAGCATCAGTTGCTAATACCACCCTTTGAATTTGTAGCAGATAGTAGGACATGGATACAGTAAAGATCCCTGCAAAAAAGAACACAAAGTTAGTATAAAAAAAATCATCATCTCCTCCTCCCTAAGGACTTGAGTATGATGATCTTCAGAAACATATTGTTCTGCACAGCTATTCGCCTGGCTCTATGTATGTGATGTCAATGCTATTGGGTGCATTAGCTTTCTCCACAACACACCCCTTGATCCTGTTAACTCCAAACTGCATTCAATCCTCATTGCTTCAAGTAACCATATTTCTCCAGTTGTTTCCAGCCTGCTACACCACCTTGTTATCTCCTCTCCTCCTAATTTCATGCTACTTTTACTCTTAGATACGGGCATTGTAATTTATCATTATTCACTATCCTCCTCCCTTGATTATTTAGCTCCCAAAAACAGTGAGCCTCAATAGATCCAACATCTAATGGATAATTAGCTAGATGATCAACCAATCTATTTCCCTCCCTTAATGTATGGGCCACTGTTATGTTGATCCTTGCCATCATTTCTTTAATCTCCTCTACCTATGCAGTAATGGCCCATGGCACACTCCATTCTCCAGTTATCACATTTTTTAGCATCATTAAATCAGTGTGAAGCTCAATAAGCACATAGGCATTTTCCACACAAAACCTCAAGGCTTCCAAAATTGCCTTTGCTTCAGCTTTAGTATTTGTCCCTTCCTGTACCTCCTTTCCACATCCATATATTACATTGCCCTACTCATTAGCATAAAACCAATGGAACTTCTTCCAGGATTTCTCCTAGAAGCCCCATATGTATTAACTGTGATCCACCCTGGACTTGGACATTCCCACATCACCTTAGTAACCTTAAGTTTAGGTATATAGGCCTCCATCATATTCAGCAGCTCTGGCCATTTATGTGACACATTCTGCAGGCCTGACTTTCTAACTCTAACTAAGGATTGCATAGTCGTGGAAACCTGATAGATGACTCTAATTATAGATTCTGCATCTCTATATTTGTAGTTGTTTCTTCTCTTCCATAACTTCCACACAATAACAGCTGGTAAAGCTTGCAGAATAGGCTGCAATCTACGAATCACATCAGTAGTCCAGCACTTAGTCACAACCTGATGAAATGTAATCCCATCCAATGCAAAACCTGCATGCCCAAGAAAATATTTCCACACCCTATTAGCAGCATATGATGTAAAGAAAAGATGTTGCCCTGTCTCCTCCTTTGGTTCAGCACAACTCCAGCATTTAGAAGCCATTAGGTATCCTACTATCCTAAAAAAATCATCCAAAGGTAGCTTATCTCTCCATACTTTGAACATGAAGAAAGCAATCCTGAAAGGCAAACCTTTCACCCATATTTTCTTGTAAGCATTGGCAGGTTCATTTCTTCTTCTCAAGTATTCCCATGTTGACTTTACACTGAACTCTCCTCTTGTTTCCAGTATCCATTGAGGCTTGTCTAGAACATCATGCACCACTGGAGGCTTCATATGCAGAAGAATATGCTCTGCAAATTCTTCTGGCAGTATCTCCGGAATTTTATCTGCATTCCAAGCACTATCATCCATCACATCATACACATTATGGATTGTTTTATCTACTCCAAACTCTAGAGGAACAAGGAAATATAAAGCCCCCAATCCCTTCCAGTTATCAAACCAAAAAAGAGAGGATCCCATCTTTGGATACCAAGTAATTTGGTATTCAATTAAATCCCTGCACTCCAACATCTTCTTTCAAATCTGAGACCCCGCCCTCCATGGTACTATCATTGCATTTAGTTTCTTGCAATATTTTTTACTAATAAAGGCACTCCAAAGGCTTGGCTTAGTTCAAAAATTCCACCACAATTTACATAATAGAGCCTTTTAAACATCATGCAAAGATCTAAAATCAATGCCCCCCTCATCACATGGCATGCACAAATTATTCCATGAACCCCAATGTCTACTACTGCCACCTATAGAACTGCTCCAGAAGAATTGAGCAAAAATCTTATGCAATTTGTTGATGACATTATTTGGAGGATTAACTGCTGATAGTAAATGAATGGGCATGCTTTGAAGCACATGAAAGATCAACACTGCTCGACCACCTATGGATAACAATTTACCCTTCCATGTTTGCATTTTATCCATCACTTTAGTGATCAATCCTTTATAGTAATCCATCTTCCTCCTAGCGTAAAAGATAAGACATCCTAAATACGTAAATGGAAATTCCTGTCTATCAATTCCAGTGATCCTTTCCACCTTTGTAATTACCTCCATGCTAGCAGAATGATGCATATAAATGGATGATTTACTCTTATTCACCAACTGTCCGTATGCAGCTTCATATGCTCTCAAGACCTCCATCACCAATTGTAAAGAAATAGTGCATGAAGAGGAGAAGATAATGGTATCATCCGCATATGATAAGTGATTGATTTTAGGACTCCACTTAGATAATCCAAATCCACAAAAATATGGATTCAAATGCAAAGCATTTAAGCCCCTGGACAATGCTTCAACAGCCAAAATGAATAAAGTCAGTGAGACTGGATCCCCTTGCTTGACACCTCCAGTTGATTTGAAAAAACCATGAGGTTGTCCATTTATGAGTACTGAATACCAATTGTTTGAGACAATTACAAACACAAGCCCTATGAATCTCTCGCTAAACCCCATTTTACTTCATTTTATATAATTACATTTGTATTTTTCGAGCTATTTATACAATTTTGCAATAATAGCCTATATTTTATACATAACTACATTATTTGCATTGTTTACACTAAAATAGCTTTTTTTATATTTTTAAAATATTAAGCTATTATTTCTAATCATTTTACTTCATAATTAATATTTTTATTATTTATTAATTATTTTTATAAATTATTTTAAATGAATTTCGCATATTTAATTTTATAGCCCAATATAGGGCTAATCTCAGACCAAAATTACAGGCCCAAATACTAAGCCCACTTTTTTGATCCCTCAGCATCCCAACCAAATAACCCCTTTAGTTAACCCGATCGGTACCCATTTCTATGACCCGCCCCGCTTCTCCTCTAATCTTGGCCATTGATCTCAAATGATCAACGGCCCACAGCCATTCCCCCGTTTTTAGTTACCCTCGCCCCAAACCCTAACACCCATTCTTCTAAGACAGTCGCCCTTAAATCCTCTCATCCTCTCCCCTTCTCTGAGAAACCCTAGCATCCGCCCCACCCAAATCCTAAGACTATACCCAAAACGATTTGAAGATCTTCCATATTTTCCTTTTTTTCGGTACCCATAATATTTCTTTCCCGTTTCTTTGGTATTATTCATTTGTCACTGAGTTATTTAAGGAAGCCAGTATTTGAGAGGTTCGTTTGGCTTCGATTCTAGATAATCACCATGTTCTTAACTTGATACACTCAACAACTAGGTTACACGGGTCCAATTCATCAAGATCTCCGGCTAATTTTGACTCCTTGTCAAATTAGGGATTGCTCGAGTTTCTCCTAAATTAATTCAGAATTGATTTTTTCATGCTTCGCTTTCTTTATTTGTGTTTGATTAACTATGTTTCCTTGTTTGTTCTTTCAATTTCTATTACTGCATAAACCCCCCTTTTCTCGCTTCCCCTAAAAGTCTTAACGACTACTGCTACGACTACTACTACCACTATTCTCCCACTCTAATTCATTCTATACTATTCTGAAATTTTGATTTTTGGTCGGCTGATAGCCAAGGCCACCTTATTCTGTTCATTAACCTCGTCTAGTGGAAGCACTGCCCGGAGCCCACTTCGAGGCTCCTGTGAACTCTGAAGCACTAGGGGTTTGGGGTTTCATTGTTATCCTATAATCACAGTTGTTCCTAAGATTTTGAGTTCTTCGTTCTTTGTTTAGTTTGTTCGCAACTGGTTAGTATCTTATGCTCTCATAATTTTATTACCCTGTGATTGTATTTATGTTATGTGCATTCCTTTGGGTGTTTAAAGTTATGCCACTTTAAGCATGCTCTAATTCTGATTTTTGCAAAGTTAGCTAAGTCGATTCATGATGTTTACATGGTTTACAATTAAACATGATTGATGTTTATCGCACTTTGTTTAGATCTATGGGAAATTGCGTTTGCTCAGAATTGTTTTCTTCTTGTTGAATCCCTTATGCATCACCTACTGTTTTGCTGCAAATTATGTGATGCCACTGTGTAAGTACTTAGCCTAATATGTTCTTCCTTGACATTACTAGCCTTAATGCATGCCCATTGTAGATGTCCAACCTGATTAATTGCTTATCTTCATGTTTAAGTCTAATTGATTACTCAATACCATTGCTTATCATGAATCCATGACTTAGAATTTTCTAGGTAATTAATGCATGCTCATAAGTTATTAGAATGTGTCTTTGCTGAGTCTTTCATGTATACCTGCTATTTCTCTGGAATCAATTTGCGATTTTATGAATTCTATATGCCAAAACTGTTGCCATGCTTAGGCTGACTGGTTTCTTCGCTTTGATGCTCTGTGCTCACTGATCATTTAAGGCTCCTAGGGTGAATTTCAATATATGTCTAGTTTATTTCTCCTTATGTCGACTAAGATAAGTTCCAGCCCTCTTCATGTGATACTTGCTTGCCTTATTTACTTGAAAGTCAGATGCTTACCTGTTGGGTTTAAAACCTCTGTGTGGTAATTGGTATTTGCTTGAACATTTCACAAGCTCTGCAAGTTAGTTATTCTCGTTAGGTTCTCATGCTAAAGCTTCCATGCTAAGGTTCTATCTCACTTATTCTTGTCTATGGCACTACTAGGTTTTTTATGTTCAAACCCTGCCTTAAGCTCTCTAAGATAATTCTGGGTCAAACTCTATTATGAAACTTTATTTGAAATAATCTTGTTGCTCTCAAGCTCTGTTTTTGGAATGATAAGCATAAACTTGCCTCATGTGTGTCTTGTATGTTTCCCAATTTAAGCGTGATCTTGCTTATATGCCCTAATTAGAATGGTTGTTAGTTGCAATTTTAAGAGTAGTTCTGTTACCTGTATGGCTGAATCCCTTAGCTTAATCATTGGAATCGTTTGGGCCTGGTTTGGGCCTGCCTTTGGTATTAAGGGTTCGAAGCATACTTTCTGCACCTGGAGTTTGGGCCTGCTGTCCGCATGAAGTCCTAAGCCTGTTTGAAGGCCCATATGTATCACTGGGTTATTCTACATTTGTATTGGGCCTGCAATTATTTAAAATAATCTGTAACTACTTGTAAAACTGAATGATGGGAAAATTAGTGAAAAGGGGGACTGGGGTATTCTAATGCTTTCATAAAAGGGTAGAAAATATGCCTATAGGGTCTATGTGTTTATTTGCTATTTCGTTTAGCATGCCTTATTTGTTATTTTTTTTAGCTTGCTTTATTCCTATAAACTAATAGAATCATGTCTATAGGGACCACACACACTTCACTCGTACACTATTCAAAGCATGTTAGTACTCGCCATACCTATTTTCTATGTCTATTATTGTGCACACTTAGACAACATGCCTATAGGATTCAATAACGTTGTTTTGCTAACGCTCATTTAGATGCCATGTCTATAGGGTTTCAACAAATCAATCAGTCACTTCTGTTATTTTGGTGCGTTGTTAACTTGGATATCACGGCTATAGGGTCTTAATTAGTTAATCAACCACTTCGTTACTTAATTGTGTTACCATACCTAGAAATCATGCCTATAAGGATAAAATCTTATACAAATCAATCGCGCTATCAACTGTTAGAAATCCTGCCTATAGGATATTGTCACTCGCATAAGAAATTGTTAATTCTGGGCTCTCGAAGTTGTTTTACTGCCTCATTATGCAATATTTAGATATCATGCCTATAAGTTTGTAATGCCTAAATTTACGAATCTGTTAGCCTAAAGCTACTGCTTGTACAATGCTGGAAATTGGAATCACCTAGAAACCATGCCTATAGGACTTAACGACTATAATGGTTCTTAACTACTGAAACTACTTACTATCTAATCTGCCGCGTGCATTTGTTGTTTATGTGTTGAGGCTAACTTGGGCCCTTAATTGTCTTTATGTGAAATCCTATATGTTTTGGATGTGTACCTAATTTTATCATTTTGAGTACCCTAAGTGAAGTCTAGAATTACCCAAATAGTAGGTCCAAAGCCTCCTAGGCCATAGGCATAGGACGGGTAGTGTATGCATAGGACACGGTTTATAATTGAATTAGAACGCTTCAGGTAAATAACTTTAACATAGTTATTGGGTAGCAGGAGATGATAGTCTATGCTTGCTGAATAATATGATAAACTCCTACCCTAAAGGAGTTGCTAAGTATTATTTATGTTGCACAGGGTGATTCATTAGGCTAAAAAACTTAGGACTTCCCCCCCCTCCTTTATATAATTATTGTTCACACTTAGTTGTTGAATTTAGAACAATTATGTTGTACCGTGTACCATCTAAAGATTGGTACTGATTATCTATATAGCTTAATTATTGTCCGATTTTCTTTACACTTATTCATAATAGAACCTTTATATTCTTTGTCTTTCCTCTCTTATATGATCACATAGGACAATTATAATCTAGTAATCCATATAGTATGAACTTCGGCCGGGACCCACATTTATGGACCACGAAGAGTACCTAACACCTTCCCTTTGAGGTAATTTGAGCCCTTACCCGATCTTTGGTGACATAGACTAGTTAAATTAGAGTCATTTTCAAATAGGTGCCCTAACGCACCTTAAAAATCATTAGGTGGAAACTCTTCTCTTTTAATACCCATTTAAAAGAGTTGTCACGCGTCAAAACCCGCTTTTACGAGAAAACGAGGCTCGATAGTGATGCTGGAGTCCGAGGTCGGTTTGTGAGGGGCAGTCTAGTAGACCAGTTTATCACTCATCACTACCCAGCCAAGGAGCTTCAGTACAGTCTTCGTTTAGTGCACTCAAAGCTTAGAGCTCTTATTGCACTCCATCAGTTCAGGGTTCGTCAGTATCGGGCTCTTCTAGCTGTTACTCTGGTTTACGGGGTCTGACTCCGCCCCCGCAGTGATTCCCAGTTCGAGGCTTCTACGAGTGTGGGGAGTTGGGGAATGTGAGGAGGTATTTCCCCCATTTTCACAGTGGTCATGTGCATCAGGAATGCCAGACTATGACTCCCTCGCCAGTTGCTAAACCACTCGCTCAGCCAGCTCGGGGTGGAGGTCATACGAGATGAGGTCGCCCTAGAGGTAGTCAAGTTGTGGACATGCTCATTGCTATGCATTTCCCTCTAGGCCAGAGGTAGTTTCCTCTGACGCCGCAATCACATGTATTGTTTCCGTGTGCCACAAGGATGTTTCAGTGTTATTTGACCCTGGTTTCGCTTATTCATATGTGTATCATACTTTGCTCATCATTTGGATATGCCTCGTGATTCGTTAGATATGCCTGCTCATGTATCTACACTGGTGGGTGATTCTATAATGGTGAACAGTGTATATCGGTTTTGTGTGGTTACCATTGGGGGTTATGAGAATAAAGTGATTTTCGTTATGGATTAGCTATCTTTGTACCATGCTATTCTTGATTGTCACGCTAAGACTGTGACGTTGGCATTGACGGGGTTGCCTAGGATGGAGTGGAGATGTTCCTGAGGTCATGTTCCTAGTAGAGTGATGTCTTTTCTAAAGGCCCA